TTCGATATGTTCCAATTGGTTTTGTAAAATCATATGATTGAGTTTTGTAATGTTTTAAACGTATATATGTAAATGATAACTTTATAGTGATCAAAGGTTAAATTTTTATGAGTTTTATACATGTTGACCGAAATTACTGTAGCAAGGGTATAGGTACACTGTAGCAGGGTATCGATACCCCTGTAGCATTCTGGAAAATTTTAGCATTTGGTAATGTTCACGATACTGGTCATTACTGCTCACAGTACTGTTCATATCGTATAGTATTGTTCATAAAGACCTTTTTTTTACTTAAATTTTTATAATGAAACATAATTTTAATAGTATATATATATATTATATTTTCTTAATATAAATCCAAATGTTTTGTTATTTTTTAAGAATATTATTTTAAAAAGTCAATGTGACATCTCATACTCGTATTCGGGTCGGGTACGGGTTAGGGTGTTACAGCCGAACCACTGGCAACCATGGCAGCATATGAGATCTTCTCAGGACTCTTGGGACATTCTTTAGCCGCATCATCATCATCTTGGGATTCATCTTCTATTTGCATGATATCCGATGGATGACTTGCTTCATTATCCTTCTTTATTCTTTCTCGATTCTTTACTTTCTTTGTGGCTCTTAGTTCTTCTTGTTCACTCTCTATGTTCATCTTGAAGAGAAATTCTGGCTTCGAGATCTATTTACTGAGTATATTTTAATTTTCTTTTGTAATCAATTCTAATTATATAAATAAATATTAGGGATTAGAATTAAGGACGAAAAAATCGTAAACTTTCACAATTTTAAGAAGGAATGAAAACATATTTTTAATAAAAACATAGAAGCAATATAAAATGTATAGTAATTTAAATTTTCAGGGGCGACGATCACAACCCACCTCTTGATCCACTTCTAATTAGAATTAGATGACAATTTTCTTATAAGAGTTCTTTTTTTATTCTATTAGTAAAAATTTCTTTATTTTCCATGGTTTTCAGAACCGGACCGGTTAGCGAACCGGCCATGCTATTGGTTCAACAGGTCCGACCGATCGGAAGAACCGGACGACGTCATAATTATTTAAAAAATTAAATAAAATACCAAAAATATTTAATAAAAAATAATTATTTATATCACAAGTCATATTCAAAGCAAGTCATAACATATATATAAGTTAAAAACCATAAAATCAAGTGAAACAAAATGATTCAAATTAACTACAACATAATATTTAAGGTAAAACATATTAAATAATAAATATAATTATATAACTATAATTAAAAAATAAATTTGGGGCTAAAAAATCATAACAAAATGATATTGTTTAGTTTAATTTTTTTTAAAAACAATCCCACATGGCTAAGAAACATAGAAGAGCATCCCAAAAGTCTAAAGAATAAAAATATGAGAACAAAACAATCTCACATGACTAAGAAACATAGAAGAGCATCTCAACTAACTTCTATAAATAATAGAGGTAATTTGACATTCAAAATCATGGAACCTTTTGGTGAGCATTGAGTGAACTATTCTTTCACTTCAATCAAGCTCGAATTTTAGGCTTCAATCAAGCTTCTAAATTTTTTTTAGTTCAAGCCTTTTCGAATTCAAGTTTCAATATTATATTTCGAGTTCGAGTTGAACTTGATAATTTTTAACTCGTGAGTTTGAGTCGAGTTGAGCTTACTTTTAAAGTTTTCAAGTTCGAGTCGAGCTCAGCAATACTCGAGTTCGACTTGGCTCGTTTAACAAACGACGTCGTTTGGTTTAATTTTTAAAAAATAAAAATAAAATTGGTGTTTTTTTTTGTTTTTCCCGGTTTTCAGCCGGTCCGGTTCGAACGGTTCAGCGATTTCGGCCGGTTCACTAGTAGCGGTTCAACCGGTGTAGATTGAACCGAACTAGGCAGCGGTTCCCGGTTGAACCGGCCGGTCCGGTCCGATTTTCAAAACATTGTTATTTTCATGTAGTTTTTTTTTTCAAAAATATTTTTTCAAATAGAATATTAATGTCGATCGGTATGATTGTCGATATCTTTTAGGATAAACGACACGTTTATTATTTCAACTATCACTTTTGTTTTGTTTTTTTTTGTCATCCAATTTTTTTTTCAAAATCATATTTAATATTATGTTTTGATTTTATTTTGGTCACTCAAAAATTAACAGTGATGTTGATGTAACACCACAAGGTAATATCACATCTTCTTTGAAAAATTTTAAAAATATCACATCAACAGTTTACTAATTTTTTAATGAGTGGCCAAAATAAAACAAATAACGTTAGATATAATCTTCAAAAATAATAATTAAATGATCAAAATAAAACAAAATTGATAATTGAATATTAGGCGTTGTTTACCCTGTCTTCTAACATATATCTAGTCTGGCCTAGTATATGCCTTTTTTTTTGTCACTACTCCAGTGTATATTCGATTTCGTGTACTATCACATCGATCCACAATTATTTGTATTGGCGTCAAGTGGTTAAAGTCCATATTTTAGCATTAAATTTCCCCGGACCAATCTGATTATATATTCATTGTTGTCATCTGCAGTTCCATTTGCCGGTCCAGGGCTTTTTTTTTCTTCCCTTTTCACTTTCGTTTGCATCTGAATTCGCATCAAAATGCTTACTTTAGCCACCAGCTGTGGTTTACTAGGAAATATAAAGTAACTCCATTTTTATCTTTTGATTCATCAAGATGAACAAATCCCAGAATGAATGCATGCATGCAAAGTATCATTGATCTCTGCTGACATGTTTTTTTTCAGGTAACATTACCACGGGTCTGGTTTACCTTGCACCAGTGTAACCTGTGAAATTTTAAGCTTTAAAGATCATGATTCATCGAAACCTATACGAATCATGTGTAACTCGATTCTTGAATCATTTGATTGTCGTTGTTTTTCAGGAACACATTCTGGCATATCGTACAAATTGGATCGACAGAAGAATTCGATAGCCTTCCGTATGTTGTGAAACTATTAAACGGTGCCTAACACTGTTCTCGTTGCCACTGTTAATGGCTTTGGTGCTTTACTCGAACTCATATATGTTATCATATTCCTAATATTTGCACCTCCAAGAATGAGAGTAAGTTTTAATTTAACATTATAAATGAACCCCCAAAGGACTGAAAATCGAAAATTTGACCCATTTTGTTATAATACTTTGTGGGGAATATGTAAATTTCAGGCCAAGACTGCCATACTTTTTGGGACTTAGGATGTGGCGTTCCCAATTGCAACCGTTGTGATAACTCAGATGTCATGTAATAGAGAAATGCATATCAGTATTGCAGGCTTCTTGTCTTTGCTTTTCATTGTTGTTACCTATGCTTCACCTCTCTATCATGGCAATAGTGTTACAATTCTAAGTTGTTACTAAAGGATACAAAATTTTATGTCTGGGAAAATTTATAAAATTTTAGACAATAAAATTAAATCGTTAATAAAAATATAAATAATTAAATTATATAAAATTTTAAAAATTTCAAGGACGGTTACTCTCAACTCGCTTGATCCATCCTGTTAATAATGCTTGAATTTTTTATTAGTTATGGTTATCCATGAGGTGCAGAAAACAGTGGTGACAACAAAGAGTGTAGAGTACACGCCTTTCCTCTTATCTTTCATCCTTTTCATCAATGGATTAATTTGGACAGTCAGTTCTGTGATTACTCGAGACTGGTTTATCGGAGTAAGTTCTTATTCACAATCCTCCGTTAATTATTTACTGAATTCTACTTATATATAGTGGATATTGCTGGTAAAAAATATCGATGCAAAACAACATAGTTAGAATTTAGGGTAAACTAATCTTTTAGTATCCAAACTATCAGTTTTGGTCAGTTTCAGTACTTAAATTTTCAATTTTTTTAAAATCTTACCTAAAATTTAATTTTTGTTTCATTTTAGTACCGTATTGTTAAAAACTTAATGCGTTTAGTAGCTAGACTATCAATTTTGATCCATTTTAGTACCTAAACTTTCTATTTTTTCAAAAGTTAACATGACGGGTACTAAAAAGAAACAAAAACTAAACTTGAGGTATGATTTTGAAAATTTTGAAAGTTTAGGTACTGAAATAGACTAAAACTGATAGTTTAGGTATCAAATACGTAATTTACCCTAGAATTTATTAGAGTTAAATTTTGTACAAGTGTAAGTTCTTTGGATTACTATAGTTTTCACCTAATTACCTAATTAGGTTGTGCTTTTTTCTTTATATAGGATTAAGAGTTTTTAAGGAGATTCACAACTTGGGTGGTGTTATTATAAATAAAATATTCTGTCAAGTAAAAAATTGATTATCACATAATAAAGAAAGAAAGAGAAGGATTGATAATGATTTTTACGTATTTATCGTGAATATAAAGTTAACACATGCTGGATTTTGGGTGTAGATACCAAATGGGAGTATATTTTTCTTTGGAACAGCTCAGTTGGTGCTTTATATATGCAATGTATTGGAAACCTAAGCAATCAAAGAGGAGGTTCGATCATGTGGTGGAAGAGGGATGCCCAACAGAGCATCTCCTGGACCATTCTGGTCCATTGCTACACAAATATGAGAGCAGGGCTGTGGCCAAATCTCATTTTGCTCCGTAACGAAAATAACAAATAATATCTGTCAATTCGTGTATTGGTATCGTATTTACGTATTTTTATACAATCGTATCGTACTTATAATTATGTTTGAGATATTTTACCTTCTATATATTTGTTTGAAAAATGTCTTGCTTGAAATGAACATCTAATGGTTCAATCTCTTTTATTTTATGTGGTGTTTAAACTATTATGCTTTTGGTTAGAAGAACACCATACTATCTGTTCACGAATAATTTTATACTTCCAAGGATTTGCAGGCAGCTGGTACGGTAAATCTGTGAATGGTTGCATTCTATGTAGCATGCACTACCGAACTGAATCCGAATCCAGCATCGAATAAGTGAAAACCGAAACCGAAATCTTATTTTCAACAAGAGAAAAAGAAAACGTACATTGCCATCTCTACATTGTTTACAGATCTTCAGCGCCGTCTATAAACATTATCCCATGCTAAAGCTATATAGCCAGAAGTACACATTGCTTTGCAAAACAGACGCAGCAAACTCTATTTGACATTACATTGTAGGCTTCAGCAGTAAAGACGTCATCCTCGACACTAAGCAAATATCGATACTTCGTAGAATAAAGGATCACCGGAGAGGCTCACATCTCACACGTCATAAGGAGGAGGAGCGCTCCTGGGTCCAACATCGCTCCCGGATTTTTCGTATGCATCCGATGTAGGCCTTCTCCGAAATCGAAACGGCTCCTTACCTCCTATACGACATTTCATCCACACTAACAACATTAGTCTAATATTTGTATATTTATAAATATTATTAGTTTACATCAATATATAAGGACGGAGCCACAATTAAATATTGACAGAGGCGAAATATTAGACTATTTAAGAAAAAATATAAAGACTTATTAGGTATTTAAACTAGAAATTCAGCATGAACAAACGACCTTAGTGATTAAGGGGTTGTTGTTATCCTTGAGGTTCCGAGTTCAAACATTGCGTATATAGGGATATGAGCGTTCATTGTCAAATAGTTGAAAGTCTTTGTACATACACTACCTTGTATTCACCTTAAATTTATAATAAAAAAACTCAAAATTCACAAGACAATTTCTAATTTGTCTAATATTTAAACTTACAATGACCTAAATTGTAATTAGATTAAAAATTTGAAAAAAAATGTATTTATCATTATTTAGTTCGAACAATACTTGATTAAATATTTAATAATTTTTTATATTCTTTTAAATATTTATTTATACATGAACCAAAATACTATTAAAGTAAATTATATCAAATATATAAATTTTAACCGGGAGCGAGACCTATCGGTTCCTAAGGGAGCTCGTACCTGTCAATATGAGACATAAAATTACAAAAGGACGTAGCTACTAATCGGGACAGTGCACGCAAATGTAGGGCATAGACAGTCAAAAGAACAAAAACTTTTAATAATGGTACAACAAATGAAGAAAAATCCTGCATGAAATTACAACTTAATGTGATATGTAGCTTTGATTTTTAGCGTCAAAATATGTAGATTGTTGTGACATTATACCCCACGTATTTAAAAGAAATTCCGTCTAGCCTACTTAATGGACCAAAGTAGGGTATATATGTTCCTTAAAAACTTTTTTTTCTTTGCATGCATTATTGTACGTCAACGAGGACTCTATTGTCATTTCATGACACCCGGACAAAATACACGCTTGCATAAACCTAACGTTGCATTGATCTTTGTCCATCGAGGAAACATACAAAGTTTCCAAATGACATAACTACCCTCCTAAAGTCCGCTTATCAGGTAACACAAATGACGTTTACCGATTAACCCTTCGAGTCCTCGACAGTCCACCTTCCAGGGAGGACAGTTCTGTGGTTTACGAAATAATTACGGACAAACTCGACAATCACAGATGATTTTTTACATATATATACCAGAAAAAGGAGATACCGGAGGAGTAGATTCGGCCGGCGAAACCGGAGACGATCCGCTCTGGTAACGAGGCGATTTTACGATCATGATCGAACGTGTCACTTTGGTCGTTTTCTCCGTCGACGTTTCATCATTGAACGATCTCACACTCTCGCCATCGGATTCTGTTCATCCACATCGGAGAACCAAAATGAAAAATTGATGAGTTAAAAAAGAAATAAAATCTTAATCTTCTGACTGGAAAATAATAAAGTTTGGTTTTCGTAACGATTCTTCTTTATTGATAACTGCTCAGCAGTTCAATTCAAGGCTTTTCAATTACCTTTGGTGACAATTTTCAATATATATATATATATATATTGCTGTTTTGATGTACAGCAGAAGTAGTAAAGTGGAGTGGCCTAACTAAGCATACCCTTGGAGGAGTTAGGCCGGGAAGTGAAAGAGGAGTGCTTGCGGAGCTTGCCCAGACCGTTATCGGGTCGAGGACCCGCAACGGTGTCGTCCCACAACTGGTCAAGTAGCCCCATACTGATCAGAAATCTTAAGATCTTTTTTTGTTTTAAAAAGAAGTCGATAGCCGGGATGGAGAGGTGACTGAACGGAGATATTTAACGACGAATGAGGGGAGTTAAAGGTCGAACAAGTTAGGATAAACTTGGACCGTTGATTTAGATCGGAGGAAAAGTAACGACATGGCAAATAAAAGGAGGGCGCGTGGTTGGGGATAAGATCAGGTGGGACCCAAAGTGTCTAGCATCGCTTTAACTATCACTGTCACGTGACTAGGTCATCTTCTACGAAGTTGAAGCTGAAAAACCTAAAATGCCCTTGGCTTTCAATTTTTTTAGATTAATATTAAAATTAAGTGTTTAGATTGTATTTTAAATTGATTTTTTAAAATTGATTTTTAGTGTTTAGAAATGTTTTCATTAAAAAGTAAGTATTTAATTTTTTTATTATACTTTTATGTACATATCGTTAAGAATAATCGTTAAGTAACTCATGTCATATTTATTTTTTTTAAATATTTTAAAATAATATTTGTTTTTGAAAAAGTAAAAATATAAATATTATGTATGTCACTTAATGATTTTTTTAACAATAAGTACCTAAAAGTGTAATGAAAAAAATATTAAACACTTATATCTAACGAAAAATTTTAAACATCAAAAATTAATTTTAAATATAAATTAGACATTTATTTTTATATTAAACATTTTTATTCACCTTGACTTTCATTTGGATGTAAATGGATAAGGATGTTATATAAAAAGGCATAATATCAAAATTATTATTCAATGTTTATCAAAATAATCATTTTGGTTTATATTTTTTTAGAATATTTTGACATAATGCTTCATTTTAAGGTAAAATATCTCCTAATATTTGATAAAATAATTACTTTAACATTTATTTTTTATATAATATTTTGACAATCAATATTTTATTTTAAGATAAAAATACCTCTATTTAAAATATTAATTGTGTGCTAATTAATAATTTTCATCTATAAAAGTGACTTATTGTCCCAAAATATAACAATAAGGTAAAATACTCCGGAGAATAAAACATAGGTGAATATGATTATTTTGATAAATATTGAGAGTTAAAATTAGTTTATGTTTATAAAAATATTATTTTATATTTGAGATAAATACAAAAGATAATATCTATTTAAATTATATTAATCATTTAATAATAAACTTTTATACTTCCAATATTTATAATTCTCAAATTCTAGACTTTATAAAATAATAAGAAATCTCTTAACAACGATTTTTCCCCCTGCAAGAAAACTTTGACTCATGACAGTATTGGTGATTATTAACTCCTCTCCTATATTCTATTAAAAAACACGCACTCCTATATTATATATTATCAAAGGTTAATATATATTTTAATACCTAAATTCAAATTTGAAAATAGTATTAACTATAGCTTTTTAATTGCTGTTATAGATATTAAAACATTTAGAAAGGATGTAACCCGAGTGACGTTATATTTATTATAAATATTTTTAATTATTTAACAATAAAAACTCACTTATAGTTTCAATATGTTATAATTTTTTTAGTAAGCTAAGATAATTATAAAATAATATTTATTTTAAATATTCTCAATTATTTGACAATGAACGTTCAATCACCCTGTCTATTATAATCGTTAGTGTTCAAACCCGTTATGTTTAAAAATTACAACGATTCTTTCAGTTACTGAAGTAAATTAACTCATACTTCAAAATGATATCTCGTGACCTTTAAAAATAACAACGATTCCTTCAATCACTATCTCCAGACCTCAAGACTTCTAAAATAACGACTCTTTGAGCTACTAAAGTACATTGGTTCGTACTTCAATATACTATACATAGATCATGTTCACTCTTAAACAATGAATTAATTAACAGTGATTACTTCATTATTTAAGAACCTTTTAGTGTATAAGTTGGAATGATCATCTAGCTCAGTTGGTAAAATACAAGGTTCTTAATCATGAGATCGAGTTCCACGGAGGACATTTCATAATTCGAAGGTCTTCTACAGAAACTGCTCTCAACCTGGTGTTGAGAACAGCCTACTATCCTACATCTCCTTACCCCGTTACATATGAGAATAAAGGTCAACTAATTTTTAGTGTATAAGTTGGAATCATTTATTGATTAAGCAAATGGTGAAGAAATTAAGTTGTCAAGTCGATTTCTTTTGTCGCTGTCCAAAGATTTAAAGTCAAATTCAATTCCTACCCACAGGCATAAAAAATCTTTACTGGACAACAACAATTTTCATGCACATAGCTTTAAGAAATTATATCGATTGTATCGACTAAACACCAGGATCTCAAACAAAAAAATAATAATAAAAATAGTAACAACATTTCACCTAGTTTGGAAATGAAATAAAAGTATGATATATTCTATAAATAAGATGGTGATGATCATTTACCAAGAGAATACAAATTCAACCAATCAATATGATAATAAATGTTTAATACAAATTGGAATCAGCCATCCATCAATAGATGAAAAAGAAAAAAAAGCACTCTGTTTTCTGTAAATTGCTCAGATGAAAACTTAATCTCAATCCACTCAGAAGCCCCACATGTATGTTTTATGTAAATAAGGTAAATAGTTGAAAAGAATGTAATGAGGAATGGGGCAAAATTAATCAAGAGTCATCTACTCTTTGTGCGAGTATGGAAGGTACTTTGCATATGGATCGGGTTTCGGCTTGTTCCTGTGATCATAGTATTCAACTACTGCAGCACCAGCTAGTGCAGCCAATGTAAGGGCTTGTGCGTGCAACCTGAATTAAAGGCGGATGACAATGAGTTACCAATGAGGCACGGTAAGTAAAGAAAGGTGTAGACATAGAAAGCTATCAGAAGTTGAGAAAGACAAAATGAAAGCTCAGCTCGAACAAAAAGTGTGCAATACATATCAAATCAAATAATCCCCTAGAAGAAACCATTAATAAGCAAGAAGAAGATGCAAATGAGTAGAGACGAACTACAATGTTCATAAACCCTTCAACCGCGACCCCCTTGTCAACCATTTTTGTCTTTTTAGGACGAGGCAGATTATGCAAACATCAATTTTGCAACAAATACAAAACAAATGCAACAATAAAAGAAGCTACATAATAAGCAAAATGATAATGGAAAAGAAGAGTAAAGCATGGTTTAAAGAGGTAACAATCTTGCACATGTAAAAGGACATAACTATATTTTGTAAACCCTTGAAACCCTTCTCTGTACCCCTCCTCCCCCACAAACCACCACGTTTTAACCATTTTGGCTTTTAGGCATAAAAGCCTAAGAGGTACACATATAGTCTTTAAGCAAACTTGCAGAATAAAACAGAAAGTGTCACATAAAGCTCAAGCAAAGTAACATGCAGCGGTATTTTCAGCTGCATGTGTAAAAAGAGAGAAATTCTGTTCTGTAAACCCTTGAACCCCCCAAAAACCAAATTCAACTGCTTTTGTTCTTTTGAATATATTTGGCATAAAAGACTAAAGAGGTAAGCATATACCCTTCAGGCAAACTTAAATAATGAAACAGATCATCTCACATGAAGTTCAATCAAAATAACATGCCACGGTAGTTTCAGCATAACTTTGAAAAAATCCAATCATAATGAACGAAGGAAAATCATTCCACCCGTTCGAATTCATTTATTGCCCCCCACCCCCAAAAAAAGGTTTTATAATTACAGTTCAATTCGTCAAATATCAGAAATTCTGCAAAAATCCAAACATAACAAATGATCGTAACTCCACTGATGTTGGAAGGGAACCCACACAGTTCTCAAACCCCCTATTTCAGTACAGAAGATAAGACTTAAGAGGTGAGACCTAGGAAGAATTGAGGAAGGGAAATTCACAAATGGGGAAGTGGGGATTGAACCCCAGCCTTGCTGGAATCCAGATCTTAAACGAGGTGGATGAACCATTTTGGGATACAACCTCTCTCATACCATACCAAATTCATATCTAGCAACCGCTATGGAACAAAAATCAAATTCAGGCTCCAAATATAGCATTACTTGCATCATCTAGCTCAGATGGATGATATACATGCCTCATCTAATCAAAACCAACAGCTACAAACACTATTTGGATGATATCTAGCGTGTTGTTCTGTTGCACAATGTTGACTAGTTTCCCTACCAGATTCGCCTCTACCACGTGGAGATTTCTTATCAACTCTATTTGGAAATTTTCCTTCCGAATTTTTTATTCTTTTAATTTTGAATAATTATTCTAAATTATTTAAAAATTTCAATTTTTTAATATTAAACTTTTAGAAAATAAATTTGGGTCCAATTGAGTTTAAGTACATTGTAAACTTCTTTTAACTCCACAAACTTAAAATAATAATATAATTATTTTTTATATATTTATAGATTGTTATAATAGTATTTTTATATTTATATATTTTTTTAATTGAACAAATTTTAGCTGATTTTTTCTTAAAATCTTAAATTCATTTACCTATTTTTTTGGTTGATAGACGACGTCATTAGTCTTTTTATTGGTTGTTGTCGTTGATTTTTTTAATTTTTTTCTTTAATTTATTATATTATAACTTTATTTTTTTATATTTATATATTTTTATGTCATATTTTCGATCGTTTAGTCGTTATTTTAGTTTATTTTTTTAAGGTTGTATTCGACGCCACAATTAATTAATATTACATTTGTTTGTTATTAAGTTGATATTCTCTATTTTAGACCATCTTTTTGTATTTAGATACGTGATTTGCGCTCGTGAATAGTTTTTTTCATTTCGTTTGATTCTGATTTGTGATTTGTTAATGATCTTTTCACAATTTTATCTTCTTTTACGGTTCGTTTGTCGATGCAGACAGATCTATTCATATCTATCTTTTGTTTGATCCTTGTGTAATCTTAAGTGACTAGCTTTCGTGTCAATGGTTATAGAAATTTTCTAGTTACATGATTATTTTACGTCTGTAATTGTAAACATTCATTGTAATTTTAGATATTTCATATTTCGAATAAAACTAGTGTCTTCTATTAAAGATATTTATATATTTTTAATAAGATGTCAATTTTATGAATAAAAATAAGATTATGTATATTTGTCTTAAATTAGATTAAGTCAAGTATGAGTTTTTTTTTTAAAACCAGGTAAACCCTTTTAAAATTAAAATCAAATAAAAAAATAAGGTTAAATAATGCTCAAATTAAATATGAGTCGAAAAAAATCAAATCCGACATATGTACACCAAAAATTATCATAGACGATAATGATAATAGAAATACGGAGAAGCCCAATGGGCGACTAGGATTGTGTCAGTAACCAGCCCTTATATGATTTTCAGAATAAATAGAGTAGCGTAAAACCGCAAGGCAAAAAGAATCAAAAGAGGAACACCGAACACGTGACATGAACGTAGGAAGAATTAAGAAACTAGAAGTGCGTCTCTCGTCCTTTAAATTACACCTTCTAATGTAAACTCCTTCCGAAAGCCACGAAAGCCTTCCAGATTAATCTATTTTCCCTTTGAAACCAAACTTCCCTCAATCTTTCACCATTCAGATCTCTTCCAAGGTAAGTCTTACATATTTACACTCGATTTTTATTTATATCCTTGTGTGTAGTCTGCTTTCTTTAATGGCGACTGAAAGAGGATTGATATATGTATCCTCGGGATTAGAGAGCTCTTATTGTTTAAAATTGAAGTTTTCTGGAAATAAATCTATATATATGCTATGTTTCAGGGAAAATGGGTCGTTCAAGCCGCACGCTCTATGTGGGCAATCTGCCTGGTGACACTCGTCTCAGAGAAGTCGAAGATTTATTTTACAAGGTTTTAATTTCTTTTCTTTTTATTGTTCTCGCTTTTTTAATTTTTTAAGTACTTTTGTTCTTGATTATTTAGTAAATATATCATGCAAGCAGTACTACAAGTAAAAGTGTCTTCAGTTGTTTTTATAGGTACGTTTGTAGATAGCCGAGATATTGCGTATGATTATATACTCAGAGTGAAAAAAGATTGAAGGATTTCTTTATATTTAATTAACTTTAGCTTAAAACTACAATAAATTAATGAGTTTCCAAATGATTGTTCAATGCATTTTTTTCTTAAAAAAAGAAGAATTGATTTTTTTTGTGGCTTTTGTGTTTTCTGTGTTTCTATACTGCAGTATGGGCCCATTGTTGATATTGACTTGAAGATCCCACCAAGTCCCCCCTGGATATGCTTTTATTGAGGTGAGGTTTCCTACTTCGTTTTTATGGGGCAACTGGCAAAGAAATAAGAAATAAATCTTTGAGTTTTAGTATTCCAAATGGATAATTGCAGTTTGAGGACCCTCGTGATATTGAAGATGCAATTCGCGGTCGAGATGGGTACGACTTTGATGGCTACTATTTACGGGTTAGTAGTTAATCTTGCCTTGTTTCTGCTTTCAGGTTATAGTCCCTTTTCAGTTTAAGAACTTTTGACACTCTAACAACGTGTATTCTTTTCTGTATTTTAGGTTGAACTTGCTCATGGTGAGCACTCATTATCGCTCGGAGTTATTTATATATATATATTTATTATATATATATATATAATAATATAGTTTGTGAAAATGTTTTTTGATGAAATATAATATATAGTTTTCAGAAAACGATTTTCGAAATTTTATATATTATATAGTTTTTGAAAACATTTTTAAAATATATATAATATATAGTTTTGAAAACATTTTGAAAACATTTATATATTATATAGTTTTTAAAGCAATTTTGAAAACTTATATAATATATAGTTTTTAAAAACATTTTTGAGAAATTATATAATTTATCGTTTTAAAAATATTTTTGAAAAAATTTTATAATATATAGTTTTAAAAATATTTTTGAAAAATTATATAATATATAGTTTTAAAAAACATTTTTTGAAAAATTATATAATATATAGTTTTAAAAATATTTTTTGAAAACTTATATATATTTTTAAAACATTTTGAAAACTATACAATGTATAGTTTTGAAATCTTTTTTAAAAATATAATATAGTTTAAAAATATTTTTTGAAATATATATATATTATATAGTATTATTATTTTTTTATTTACTTGTTTTATTATTTATTTATTTATTTATTTATTTATTTATTTTTTCGTTTTGTCCAAGTCCAAGAGAGTCCAACGGGTCCAGTCACGTTTGGGCCTGACCTAGCCCAATCTCGGGTTAGGGTTTCCAGATGTTCAACAGGAGCCTCAAAGGAAACAGGGAGACCGAGAGCCAATCAAGGCACATCACAACGACGCGAGATTTACGGCCGAGGAAATCGGGACTGACCCATTCCGAAATCCCCGGTCAACAACGAGTGTCACCATAGTAATCGGAACCAACAGGCCACCGGTGGGGTATAAATACCCCCACCAAGCCACAACCATGGAGGAGGAAGAACACACAGAACCCACGACAGTACTTACGGGGGGAGACAGAAACGAGCATCTAGAACTCACAAGACAGAGAGAACCACAGAGAATCACCGAGGGATCAACAGAAACCCATCGCAACAAAGGGTACGAACAGTATACCGAGAACATATCATCGGAGAGAACACAGTAAACAGACAACCATCACAGTGAGCCAACAACAACGAACCGAGAGCTAACGAGAACAGAAACAACAAACCAAACGGCCAGAAGCCGAAACACAAACAATCCAAAAACATAGCCAACACAAACCACAACCATAGACAAAACCACAAAACCATAGTACACCACAATAGACAAGCAAAGCAAAGCAAAGCACGAGAACAAATACACCGGGAGCCGAAGAGTCATCGTTGGTGAGGTAAAAATCGAAACTAAAAAATGTAGATCTACTTTTTTTGGGGTCGTTTTATGGGATTTTGTTTATGGATTAGTGTTGAGGAGGTAGAGGAGGTTATTTTGGAGAGGTTTGGGTTTTTTCAGCCGCCGGTGGTGGCGGCCGGTGCGGTAGGTGGCCACCGGAGTGGTGGCCGAATTTTGGCCGTTTTCTGGGAGAGTTGAGAGCATTCTCTCGGTTGAAGGAGAAAGCATTTGAGAAAAATGTGAAAATGAAATAAAATAAGGTGTTTTAGCTTATTTATATACCAAGGACCATCCTGCAAATACAAGATTCTTAAATTCCTTCAGCAGTCCCTGATACTTTGAGTCGCAGTTCATTTTGGTCACTACCTGTAAAGTTGCCTCTGAATTTCCAATTTAATCAATTTAGTTCATGTTTATATTTTTTTATATTCTGTGAATTGACCCCCTAACTTTTTATTTGTTCTTTTACAGTTCATTTTCTAATCTATTAAGCCCAATTTGTTCCAGTTTGATCCTACAATTTTTTATTATTTTATGTTTAAATATTTTTTAAAACTAACATTTTGTTATTATTATTTTTTACTTTATTTCGTTTTTTATTTATTATTTTTATCTATTATTTGTATTTTTTTAAATATTCTTTTTCATTTTTATTATCTTTTTTATATATCCTTTTTTATATATATCTTTTTTCTATTTTATTTATTATTTGTTATCATGTTAACATTTTTTCGTATTTTTTGTTTTTTCTCTAACATATTTCGTTTCAGTCGTAATTCCAACCGATCAAAGGGTAAGTAATTCGGATCGAATAATTTAAATTTTAATTTAAATTACAATTTTCGCAAATAAAGACAACCGGTAAAATAATTGGTACCGAAAGGGCGGTTCAAGGGTGCTAATCCTTTCTTGACCGTAACCGACTCCCGAACCCGACACGTTTTTGGTACAACGCAGATCAAGTAAGATGGTGTCCGACCCACCTAAATTTATTTTAAAATGGTCGGTGGTGACTCTAAAGCATTTAATCCAAGTCGAAGCCCAATTCCGGGGCCCAACCGAAAGCCGACAGCTTGGCGACTCTGCTGGGGACCGTTAAGTGAGTCAAGTCGAAATTAATTTTCGGTTGTCTTTTTAGCGAAAGTTATAAATTTAAATTTTAATTTATTTATTCGATTCTAATTATTTACCTTTGATTATTTTTGAAGTAAATAGTTGTACTGACGTTTTTTAATGATTTTAGATTTTTCAAAAATTTCATCTCAGTCTCTATACCCGAGCTCAAAACCCTTTTAAGTGGGGGTGAAAGCGACGCCTTTGTGTGAATTTATTCACCGTATGAGCTTAGCAAGTAACATTCGGGATTCATATACCTTATTCCTTCGTGTGAATTTATTCTCCGTATGGGCATAAGGGAACGTATCCTCTCGAGTTTAACTTAGTCCACACAAGCCTGTGATTGGTTTAGGACTAAGGGTCTGGCAAGCCCAAGGGGGCACCAGCAAGGAGAACTCGAGTACCTTTTTAGAACCTAAACCAGGAGAGTACAGGGAATTAGAGCCCACCCCAAGACCTCATTCCAAACCTTAGGCTACTTTGTTTCCTTCTTTATTTTTTGTTTAAAGCATGCGAACTAGACAAATATGCGGTTATGATTTATTTGAAATTAACATGCGGGATAGAGATCATGTCCGGGTAGAAATTAAAGCATGTGGGGTAGATATCATGTGGGGTAGGATTTTTCATTTTTATTATTGTTTTGATTTACCTCACTAACGCTTTTTATTTTTTGTTCTCCTTTATTTTGTTTTCATCATTCGCGTCATTTAAAACAAGGTGTTGATCCACCAAAAACATGTTTGTTAAACATGAATAATCTGCATTAATGGACAAAGGGGTTGTAATACAAGAGATGAAAAATGCAGAGGACAGTCTACAAGGCGACTATGTGTCGCATTCAATCCAGAAGACGTGGTGCCCACAATTGAAGAGTGTATCACTCTGCTGCATTATAAAGGACTCAGAATGAATCGAGTCTACATCAAGCACAATGAAAGTCTATCTTTGAAGAACTGACTGGCAAAGGTTGCAGGGGAAAGATGAAAGGAGTCCCTTCAAAGACAACAATGACAAAACGATAGCTAAAATTGGAGACCATATCTGACGAATTCAAGAAACAGACAAATGAACTTCACATAGTTCCTATCAATTGAGGGCTCCAACGACGTATTCGTGGGGAACAGATTCAACAAAAGATAAATGCCAGAGATGTAGTCATTTGAAACTTCTTGGGCTAGTAAAAAAAGCAACTCAACTTTTGCACGGTTCTTCCAGAGAAGCCAGAGCGGTTCGATAGGTTATTCAACCGGTGATAGACGAAAGCAGAAGACTAGTCAACATGTCAGAAGCTGCCAAGATATTTTTCTCTTAAAAGATAAAACACTTTTATCCCAAATAAGGATTATTTATAATAACAAACATATTTTTGGATCAATACCTCGGATATTTCATGCATCATGTATTTAGACATTTTGCATTTTGTTATTTTCTTTGCATTCACATTAACTAACATATATATGTCTCATCAAAGAGGAGCAAATACTAGATACACCACCTCAAGCGTCGGACGCACCCCCATCCGCATAACACCCGTTTGAAGAAGAAGAGGATGGAAGCCAGAATTACATAAATCGAGGAGAATATGTTGAAACTACAGAAAGAGCTAGAAGATAAGATAAACCAGAACAGTCGAAATACTCTGGAAACAATCATAAAGAACCAAGAGTCCTTGGTTGATCAGATCGTTGCCAAGTTAGTTGGCCTACAACAGACCAGTGCGCCTGGGGCAGGTTCACCGGAAAGGGTAACTATACAATCTACCCCGCAAGTGGTTATCTCACCTGAAATCTTACCAGAACTTCGAGGGGACTCATCTGCTGCAAAAGTGAAGCCCTCGTCCTCTGTATTTAACCCTAAGAACAATCTGGGTTATTACCATGTACCGGATTTGGACGAAGATGACAAAGCGAAGAAGATGGAGGAAAAAATCAAATAATTGGAGGACCAAATAAATGTAGTCAAAGGAGACCATGACTACCATGAAATCGATGCAGCGGAACTTCCCGGACTTGGTTCTTCCTCCGAAATTTAAGTCCCGAGAATTCGAGAAGTTTGACGGGAACAGTTGTCAATCCGCTCACATCACCATGTTCTGTCGAAAGATGACAGGATATGGAGGAAACGACCAACTCGTGATCCACTGCTTCCAAGAGAGTCTGTTGGGATCAGCCAATTCGGTGGTACAACCAGCTAAGCCGATCAAATATCAAGACGTGGAAGGACCTGGCCAAGTCATTTCTGGAACAATACAAGCATGTCAATGACATAAGACCAGATCGAGTTATGCTACAAAGCATGAAAAAGAAGCATAACGAGAGTTTCAGGCAATACGCACAGAAATGGAGGGACTTGGCTGTGTAAGCTCATCCACCGTTGGACGAAAAGGAAACCCGAAAGCTCTTTGTACAGACCCTGAAGGCTCCATACTTCGGGCACCTGGTTGCGATCACATCAGGAAGCTTTTCAGACTTGGTTATGGCCGGAGAAATGATTGAGTCGGCCATAAAGCAAGGCAAAATTAAGAATGGGGAGGCCAGTAGGAAACCTCTTATGCGAGAGCGGGATAGAGAGATTAACAACATCAAT